ATTGTCGATTTATCGAATTTAAGTCTTTGCAATTTTTAAAATAAAGGTTATATAAGTTTATAGAGTTATCACTGCTTATCGAATTTCGTCGTGACCCCTCGAAAAATATGTGTCATCGAAATTTTTAGATGTGTCTAGAGTTTATGAGTTATCGACTTATATCGAGATATATGTATTTATGTTGGAGTTATCCAAATTTATCAAGCCTTATAAATGCACAGTTATCGACTTTTATCGAAATTAGTCGAGATTTCGAACTTTGTTGAGTTAAGGGATTTTAGTGTCTCTGAAATTCATGGAATTATCGATATGTATCAAATTATCGAAGTCACGTTTTAGTTCCAAAGCACGAGATCATCCGGTAAGTTAAACGACGTGCTTGGATTGAAAACCTCTCCAAGGGTCTTAAAAAACTGGAGGAAAGGTTGAATTTCGGTAGCCATTGGTATCCCTAGTTTTTATATTGTGCTGCTTACGTCAGTATTTCCCCGTTTAATCTATGAACAAACCAATAATAATAATTCGAGAGGCTTTGTTTACTAGACATCCAAAAATTAGTAACAAAATTAAAGTATTAAAATAAACCTTCAATAAAAATTTAAAATTGTTAGTTCCAAAGACAACGGTGATACATGCCCTACCTGTTTTTGATTCTCTTTTTATAATGAGGTTGTTCACACTTGCCTGGATATCAGGTTATCTGGCTAAACATTTTTATTCTGTAGTGTAAACCGAATACAAAATATAACAACATAACCAGATAACCTGATAACCAGGCAAGTGTGAACAACCTCATTATATTTTGCTTAGAGAAGAAAAATTTTGGTTAGGGGCTTTGTGAATTAAGGTAACGATGCGTAGATACATACCTGCATATGTGTGTGCACGAATGCTAGACAGGGCGTATGAGTAACTTTTGTCCCGGCAAAAAAAAACTCTCCAAGCCGATTATGTATTTACGAATTCAACTAATCGCAATGCCCCAGAGCTCCTCGGGGCTTTTTAGAAAGTGAGATCCAAAGTACCTAAGAAGGTAGTGTTACGGTGATTCCAATTTGTCCTCTTCCAGGCATTTTCGACATGAGGGTCCGGTTGTATGTTCAGCCTTAGTGAGAACTGTGGCTTCGCCGAGGTCAGTTGGGAGGAATTTCTCTCTAGTACTGATGTCACTGAATGCTTTGATACTTTTGGAACAGAAGTTTTCGAAACTTGTAAAATAATTTCCCTATTCTCAAAAGAAAGCCGTGGTACACTAAGCGTCTGAAGAAGCTTAAGAATCTTATGAATAAGTTCTATAAAAAGTTTGAATCCACCAATAACCAGTTGTTTTATGACAAGTATCGCCAATATTTGAAAGAGTTCAACTGTTTAGAAACATTTTTATATAGAAACTATATTCTCAATTTCGAAAATAGTATTCAGTCAGATCCTTTGGCCTCCTGGAAATTCATAAACTCAAAAAAGCGGTGCTACACAATACCAACCACAGCCTTCTTGAGCCACAAATTTGCTCGCTATCCTCAAGAGGCTGTTATTTATTTGCTGATTTCTTCAAATCAAACTATGATTGTGAAAAAGATTTACTCTGGAATTGTTTGTTATCTGGCTTTAATTCCATACGTGAATTCGGCTCACTGACTCTTTCAACTGATAATATTTCAACTGAAGCCTCAAAGCTCAAGGCTCTCTTGTTAAAAAACTGTGCTGCTCTAGTAATTCCGTTGAAAATGATTACTACTTATTGATGCCTCGAAACTGGCATCCGTGACTCTAATCTTCAAAAGCGGGAACGAAAATTATGTAATTAATTACAGCCCGATCTCAAAACTTACCAATGTGTCTAAACATTTTCAATGTGTCATCAAAGACAAGATATATTTTTATTTTGAATGTTTAATTTGTTGGAATCAGCACGGGTTCGTATTCAGCCAATCTACAGTCACTAATCTGGCAGTTTTTAGCGAGTAGTGTATCTCTACTTTTTTAGCTGGATATCAAGTTGATTGTATTTATAACGATTTTTATAAAGGTAGGTAGNTTTTTTAGCTGGATATCAAGTTGATTGTATTTATAACGATTTTTATAAAGCCTTCGATAAGGTTTCGCATGCGATCTTGATTGACAAACTCGCTGCCATAGGTTTGCATTCTACTTTTCTGAAATGATTTAACTTAATCGGAGGTGTTGTCCTGTTATGGTAGACGATGCTCAATCACAACCTTTTATTGCTACTTCAGGTGTTCCACAAGGTAGCATTCTAGGTCCATTGCTTTTTGTGTTGTTCATTAACGACATTGGTTATTGTTTATTTTTCTTTTGTACGCAGATGATCTGAAATTTTATTCAGTTGTCAAGAACTTCGCTGACTTGTTGGAACTCCAATCGAAGCTGAATAATTTATATTCGTGGTGCTTGAGTTCGCATCTTTTATTGAATATTAATAAATTCTTTTATGCTCCATTTTCTAAATCACATAGTTTATTAAAAACTCGATACCGCATCTCTAATTGTACTTAGCAGGCGATAACTGAAATCAGGGATCTTGACCTTAACGTTAATAATAAATTCATAGTCACTAATTTTATTCATATTCATTTTATTATTTCAAAAGCTTATTCAATACTTGGTTTTGTTCGGTGGAATAGCTTTGAATTTTCCGATCTTTACACTTAAAAATTTCCCTCTTTTGTGCGATCTCACTTGCCAGTTTCATATTGACAGGATTGAATGCATTCCTAAGGTGTTCCTCAAATTTGCTTTACGTTCGGTAAGCTTCTCAGCTCCCATTCCTTCATATGTGTATTATCAAAAATGTTAAGATACTCTTTTATCGTTATCTGTAAAAACAAAAATAAAACATTTCGAATTCAAACGTAAAAAAAGTTAAAAATTAGCTTTCAGCTCGTCTTCTGTTAGCTAATTTCTGCTAGTAAAAATATCACTAGCAAGAATTTGCAGCTCTCCCGTGTCATTACGCTCTCGACTCAGTGCTATCTGTCAAATTTTGTTTGGTTATTATTACATACACTTTTCCAGTTAAAATTTGCAGGATCCAGCACAAATTAGTACCGACTATTTGTTATTTTACACACCTATTATTAGTTTGTCAACTTGAAACTTTAAAGGAACCGTAGACAACACAAAGAGCGCTTGAACTGTTAGTGCCACTTCACGTACTCCGGTTTCCGTTTACCTGGTAGTCGCTTAGCCGTCGCAAAATACTCATTTATTTAACCGGGCACACGATTGTGTGAAAGCGTTAAGTATTTTACATTCTACACTTCGTGCCGATTAACCGCAAACCGGAGCGTGTGTTGCATTCTGAGTACGTTAATGCTAAAAAATCTACTTTTTCAGATCGACTCAAATAGCATTAGTGTTGCAAAATCGAAAGGCGTATTTCATAGATAAGGTGATGAAGAATTCAGGGAAAATAGTCTCACTACAAAAATATTACCTCTAGTGGCATTCCATTGCAAAGAAGAAAACGACATAAATTTAAATATGCCCTAATATCTCTATTTCAGTGGTAACCTCTTTTTAAATGACTACATTTTATTAGTATGTTGGAAAATCTAAAGTTGAAATTTTTGTCTATGCATTTTATTTTTATTTCATGCATAATTACTTTACACCAGTCACAAGGAGATGTCCCACCAGTCACAACTTTAAATATTTTTTAATATTTCTATGAAGATTATTTTATTATTAAAACGAAAGCGTGTAATTTATATTTGACAACACAAAAACATCGTTCGTGAAGATTAAGTATGTCCGCTAAAATTTATCTTTGAGTGCACAAGGGTAGGGTGCAATAGAGTTCCTTTCAGTGTCTGACCAGTCACATTCATTCAAATGATAGTAATATAAAACTAAGAAATCTTTTGGTATTTTTGTTAAAGCAATTTTATGCATTAGTTATCGTTCTATGTTAAAAAGTATCTTTCATTGTCCGACGCCATAGTTAAAATTCACAATTGTTCACGTTCTGGAGTTGAATGTCCCACCAGTTACAATGCAATGGCCCTCCATATTTAAAGTGATCTTCAAGAGTAAAATTTTAAATTATTTTTCTCATTTAAGTGTCAAAACAGTACACTGAGGGGGAAAAAATATTAAAATCAAATAGAAACGTAATTGATCTTAATATAAACGTCAACGAAAGTACTGTATATTGGTAAATATTCAATTCAATTACGCGCATATTAAAATGACCGCGTTCGTACTGAATAAGCATCCGTGAAGTGAATAATCAAGACAAAAACTAAAAAAAAAATTTAATTTGCATGTTGCCTATAGAGGAATTCGAACCCGACCATCTCCGGATATCAAAACCTGTGGCAAGCATCTTTGCGCACTTGGCTACACCCAGCCATATAAATTTCCTTTCAAATGTTTAATATCTATCAACACCACAGCACGCGATTTGTACTATGTATGAATGTGTGTGTTGCCACCGCTCTCAGAGCGGCGCTCTGCATGCTTGGGGTGCGTATGTACACTTACATATACATACTCAGATGTGAACAGTCAAATACGTGCGTAATAAATTTTGTATGAAAATGTTATTTTTAAATACGAACATTTTTAATCGATAATCAAATATAAAGTATTCATTTTTACTATGCATTATTTCCCTCAGTGTATGTAATAAACTTTCGCGGCAACCACTCCACGACAAATATTTGTATTAAAATCAACGAACTTGGTGGGCTATTAACAAAAAAATATATATATTAGAAAGCAAACACTCGCATATTTAAGGGTCTAATAAATAAGGCTAAAATTCTTAAACGTTTGATAAATACATTAGTATATATATCTACCTTAAATTAGCACCATTAGCAAATATTTGGACAAAATCTTGTCATTCGCCGCTTACCGTACTACCGGATATTACAATGGCAATAATAAATAAGTGGTTTCTAAATGTAGGTAAAATAATATAAACATTGAAAAAAAAGATGTAGTAGCTAGGTATGCACATACATATTTATTTATTATTTCGACATTAGTTCATCTTCCGATTGTTTTGGATTAACATTGACTTCTGTTTGACTTTCTCTTTCTGATTGTAAATTTTTTTGAGCTTCAATATAACTGTCATATAACCAGTAGCATTCTTCCAATAGGTCATCATTCTGAATACATTCATACCAATAGAGCCGTTCAGTGTTCCCACCCATTGATTTGTTCAGCAAACGACGACGATGATCCCCACGATATAAAAAATCAATGTAACTAAGAGTATCAAAGGTATCAAAGTTATGAACTACTTCATTGGATTCCATTTCAGTGGCAACATAATCATCAACATTATCCATTAATACTCCTACAGATGCAAGTATCATATCGATGCGCTGCAGATCGACTTTCTCATGTGGTAATATCCTTGCCCTAACAGCTGCTACTTCTTCGCCCACACGTTGCTGGATGCGAATCAATGATTGTTTTTTTGCAGCTTCGTAGGCCAAATGCCTTTTTTCAAGTCTAGTTTCCCGCTCTAGCTTTTCTTCGTCAACGCGTTTACGAGTCATTAAAATACTCAGCAAACGGTTCAAATTCAATTCGTCCCATTTATGTTTCATTCGCTCAGTATAGGAGAGGTTTTTATACTCGTCCCTAGAAATTCAAACAAATAAAGAATATATATATATATATATATATGTATGCATGTATATAATATATGTATGTTAGGCAGAGACCCAGAATATTAATTATTTCATGGTGGAGTTTTAAAAAAAGTCATCGAAATTTTCGTAAGAATACTCTTTTGATAATAAATAATTATGTGTGAGAAATTTTTTAAGTCATCTATAACTATTATTTTAAGACTTATATAATAGAAGTCTTTTCATAATAATTATCAGCGAGAAAAATATTTTTAAGGCTTCAAAGACTTTTATTTTGAGACTTACATTATAAAAATCTTTTGATAATAATTATGAGTGCGAAAAAATTTTGTATATAGTCCCGAACGGGTCCCAAACCAAGCACCACCAGGTCCCAAACTATCCCCCAACTACTCTCCAACTAGTCCCGAAATCCCAAAATGCTCCTGAACAAGTCCCGTCTTTTAAGACTTAAAACTTTTTTTCGCGCTCATAATTATTATGAAAAGGCTTTTATAATATAAGTCTTAAAATAAAAGTCTTTGAAGACTTAAAAATATTTATCTCTCTGATAATTATAATGAAAGAACTTTTATAATAGAAATATATGAATTACAATTATAGATGACTCGAAAAATATTTATCTTAATATGATTATTGATTGACTTTGATGCTTTTCTCTTATAATAGTTATGTATCTGATGTTAGGGTGGCCATCGAAAATTCTTTTTTTGGAAATTTCAATACCCAACCCCCTTATTTTCTTCGTTTTTTTTTTGCGAAATATTATTGCTTATTTTTATAGACTTTTTAAAGGTCATTTAGAGGTCGCGACCTCGGATTTAGGTCATAAAATAGGACTGTTTAGATTTATGACATTTTGAATGACTATTATTTTTTATCGGGTAAATTTAAAAAAGACCCATATTTCTCCTAATTTTTTAAATTTTGACCATCGATAATTTCTGCAGTTTTAAAATATGGAGTACTCTCTAAAATTAAATCTATTTTCAAACAAACTGATACCTCATCTATTGCAACCGCATACAAATTTTCGAATTTAGGCGATTTTTGGTAAATACGGCCTTGAGTTTATATGTGTGTAAGTACCGGAATTACAGATTTTTTGAGCAGTGTGGCTAATGAGTTTCCCAATATTTATTCANTGCAAATAAGTGTGCAATTTTATTGAATTTTCCTGAGGTTTGCACAAAATTTAGAGATTTAGTTTTTATGTTTTTTGGTGTAGGACGAACTATATATTTATAAAAAATTATCGAAAATAAATTAGAATAAAAAACTTTTCAGATATTGCGAAAAATTCTCTGTGCCAATACTTTTGTCCGGCACTGTATACAATCGCTCTTTAGCAAAAAAGTGGGTTTTCAAGAAGTTTTAGGAAAATGGGGGTGGCACCGGCCACTTATATGATATCAGCATATCTCAAAAACTACTTGCCCGATGTCGACCAAATTTGGTCTACACATTGTGCTTGAATATTTTCGAAATCGGACAACAACCACGGGCTCCACCAACATAACGGTAATTTCAAAAAACTCAACCAAATTAGTATGAGACCACCTCTGAGGTTCCTCCAAATAAATAATTATAGAAATCGGTTAACGTGATCCGAAGTTATGCGGTAACATACATACATACAAAAAAAATATTCCGACGAATTGATAACGTCCTCCTTTTTTGAAGTCGTTTAAAAAAAAGTAGCTTTCAAAAGCTTTATTAAGTTACATTTTCATATAAATTTTCGATTACTAAAGCACTTCTATACTTTTTTTGTGATTTTGGGTGCAAGTATTTAGCTTTACAAGTAGTAAATTCTCAACAGTTGGACTTTCATTCACTTAAAATAAAATTAAATAAACAGAATGCCCTTTCCACAGCTACTTGCGTAGCTGGTGCACCGATAACAAAGATATGTTATTCAAAATGCTCAGGCGTTCTTAAATGGAGGTTTTGATAATAAGTTAAAATATCTTCAGTCATTGGTAAGTGCCTATCGTCTCATCCCATTCAACAACTATGGATATGATATCCATATCAATGTCTTATACACAAATAAAATATGATGGAGGGTTAATAAAAATGGATATCGCATCCGCAGGTAATGCGCCATATTCACAAAAATTAAGGATATCTTCCCAAGTATGAGGCAGTAGTAAAAGCGTATGCTTTAAAGAAAAAGCTTTTCCTTCTTTCCGTATGCATGATTACTTTAGGGTGCGTTCACACAAAAAGCCGAGCGGCGAAGAGCGAAGCTAGGCGGAACCAAGCGAAGCTGATTGGTGTTCACACTGAACGAAGTGAAGCTGAGCTTTTTTGATGGACTCAGCTGTAAGATACCACAAAAATTACCGTTAAGGAAAAGCGATTAAAATATTTGCTGAACTTTATTGAAAATATTAGTTCTAAAATTCGTTTTTGTTTGAATATTTTGATGTCTTGTTTGCAGCACCGTTATGAAACTGAAAATTGAATAGAAAATTCAAAATAAAAACTTCTTTGTTCTCAGCCCCAAGACGCTTCTGAAAAAGCTTTCTGCATGAACACTTTCATATGGCTACAGCAATTTGAAAGCTTCACTCAGCTCGGAACGGCTTAGCTTGGATTGGCTACGCTTTCTGTCTGAACATACCCTTATACGATAATATCCTCCAAGCACAAGTAAAAGGTAGACTCGTAAGAGCTTTGAAAGTTCATATTAGAGCATGTTCTATACATACGGTACACAATAAATTAATAATGAAGCAATGTGCATGTATAGGACTTTTTTGTCATTAATCCATAGGCAACGACTGGTGCAAAAGTAGCCACAAATGTTTGGTAGTATTTGGGCTTATATTCGAAACCCTCTATCCGAAATTTTTACAAAAACTTCTCTGCGATGTTAGAACCCATGTGGGACTTACCTGTTATCACTGATGTCATTTCTGACTTTGCAATTTAATAGAAATATCTTCTGTCAAGCGTTATACAAGATCAGTATAAATATCACCGATGGCAGTTAAGTCTTAGTGGAATTTTTAAATAAGGATCTAGTTTTTGTGAAAAGTGCAGATAGAGGGTATTGAATATAATCCCTCGAGGTGTTTCGTGACTTTGACTTTGCAATGATTTCCCGCTCAAATAATATGGCAATGGCACAATTTTGTCGCAAGAAAGTTTCCATACAGAAGTAATCAGCTGTGTCACAAGGTGGCACATTTTGCAACAAATACGGGATTTGCAACAACTTTGCGACGTTTCATGAATCCCTAAAGTTAACTTTTAGAATATATGTAAATAAATTGTTGGCCCTTTCTACTTATGTTGAGCTTAATTCCAATTTGATCCATACTTTATCTTTCTATCTTATATATTTATAATCTTTTTTCATTTTAATCATATGAAATTCGATGATTTTTCACAGAGCAAATTAATTTTTGCACGATTTGCTCCATTTTCTTACAATCAACTTTTAAAATTCTATTCACCGTTGAACAAATTACGCTGCGATTGTGCGATTTAAGGCAGCATGCGCGATAGCTGTGATAGATGGCGCTTGGTGTCCACGTTACCATTTGAAAACACTTGTGCCGTTCGATTTATATCGCTATCTCTATAGCAACCGCGTTGGTGTGCGCAAGGCTTAAGTATTTGCGAAGCGCAGAAAAGAAGTGTATTAACACAACCTTTCACAACAGAAATGAGTTTGCTACTGACTTAACTAACTTTTTTGGAAGTATATGATTTTTACTAAATAAAGTAAAATGTTAACTTTATGCATACCCATATACTTTTATGTATATATTTATATGAGTAGAAGGTTATGCTTCTACTCGGAAATGTAAGGTGAGATGAATGAGACAATCAATTTTTATTGATGTGTCATTAATAGCGTTTTCTCAGTATACGCTAACCGGGAATTCAATTTTGATCAGCTATTCAGGGTTGGCATGCGAATTTTATGAAAATAAAAGATTACAAAGCTTCTGAATGCTAAAAAGTTAATATGGAATGGAATTAACCAGGGAAAATGGTGTACAGAAATTACTTAGTTACGTTGTTTTCTTGACGATAGCTAGGGACAAAACGATACTATTAAATACAAGTACATACTCGATACTTTTCGTCCGATACCAAGTAATTTTTCTATCGATACTTTTGAACAGAGTACTGAGAAGTATCGGAAGAAAGTACTTGTATCGAAACCCGACCCAGTGACAACTTTATTCCCGGACTTTTATTTTTTAATCTAATTACACTGGATCAAAAATTTGTGTTTGGTTTTTTCCACGCATGCCTCTATCCATTTTTCATGTAGAATCGCCCGCTGAATCCAAAAATTGAGTTAATTTTTTGTTCCGTGGATACGTTTTCGAGATATTTTCATTTTACCGTTATCCAGCTTAAAACAAAAGTTGGTTCCTCTTAGTCGCTTATATCTCTTGAAGCAATTTAACAACGAAAATACAAAAATCTTTGCGCATTTTTCACTTTTTTTTTTTTTATAGATCTTCTTCGTTAGTAACTTGATTTTTTTGTAACAGGACAGGCTTTAGCACGAATGCGAAAATCTTAGACCGAACCTGTTGTTTTTTTTTTTAATTTTTCTTCTGTTAAAGTGTTTTTTATGTTTTCATCAAAAATTAATAATAATTTGGATTGAAATAAAATAATAATAATTGGATTCGGCAGAAATTATCAGGCCTATCGAAAATTGATGTATATAAGGTCTATGTAGAATTTTAAGCTCTTATTTGCCGTATTTTATATTAAGATTGTTAAATTGGTTCGTAAGACAATTAAGTGTAACCATTTTTTGCTGTAAGTGAAATAACGGTAAATTGAAAAGTCCTTGATAATGGATAAGTTATCCATAGAATAAAAAATTAAGTAGATTTTCGGAATCAGCAAGCAATTCTTTATAGGATTTGGATATAGGTTTGGCATCCATTGAGCATTTATGCTGTAAGCCAGTGTTATTATTGTGAATAGCTAATGTTTGGCAGTTTA